CTGACAGAGGATTTTAATCCAGAATATTTAAAGAACTCACAAAACAAAGAATCGAGAAAGCAAATAACCCAATTAAAAGATGTGCCAAGGATCTGAACATATAGTTCTCAAAAGAAGAAATAAAGATGGCTAGGAAGCATCTTAAAAGGTGTTCAACATCATTAGTAATTAGGCAAATGCAAATTAAAACTACTTTAAGATTTCATCTTAGCCCAGTCAGACTGGCTAAGATCAAGAGAACAAATGATACCAAATGTTGGAGAGGATGTGGGGAAAGGGGAACTTTCATCCACTGCTGGTGGGGCTGCAAACTTGTTCAACCCCTATGGAAAGCAGTGCAGAGAACTCTTAAAAAGCTACAAATGAACTTACCATTTGACCCAGTTATACCACTCCTTGGCATGTACCCAAAGACCTCATCCTATTGCAGAGACACTTGTACATCCATGTTTGTTGCTGCTCTTTTCACAATAGTTAAGAGATGGAAGCAACCTAAGTGTCCCTCAGTTGATGAGTGGATAATGAAATGTGGTTCATTTATACGATGGAGTTTTACTCAGCAGTAGACAAAGATGAAATTTGCAGGTAAATGGATGGAACTAGAAACTGTTATACTAAGTGAAGTAACACAGACTCAGAAAAACAAACAACATTATGTTCTCCCTCATATGTGGATCCCAGCACCAAACCCTTATAAATGAGTATGTATCCAGACATATAGGAACCAGGATAATGGAAAGGAACCAGGGAGGTAAAGGAAAAGAAAGAATCTGAAAGAAAAGAACAGTAGGAAACAGGCATTAATAAGGGAGACATGGATAAAAATGAGGTTATTTTAAGGGGAAGGGGAAGGGAGGGTTGTACAAGGAACCTTGGGGATAAAGGGAAAGAAGGAGCTCAAGAGAAGTGGGACCATAGGAGAAGGGTATTAAGGGAGAAATGGGAAAAATGGGGCACTTTAAATGAAGAAACAACAGTGGAAGGTTTAGACAATGCAAGAGGTAAATAATGCCTAGCTAGTTTTAAAAAACCAGAGGGAACCATATTAATCAAACAACGTACTGACAAATTATACATACAACTATCTTAAGGCAAGGTTAATCTGAGGATGTTTGGTCTTTGCCCAAGTTTTATCTACATAGCACATGGTAATTAAAAGTATCAGACTGGTGGAACTAACCTTCTTGAATGTCTAACAGCCGTACTTTGAGGCCTATACTAATTTGGTCAGAGGGACATAAAGGACAGTTTTTGCTCCTTGCCCTCCTAGGTCAACTAAGCTCCAGGGGACTATGAGCATCTCTCAAAATGTCCTGTAACTGTAGTGTGTCACCTGTCCTCTTGATCAAGGAGGCCAAGGAGACCCCACCAAATGGACTTGAACCAGTGTCCAGTCTACAAAGAGGAAGGTCAACACAGAGGAATCATTTCCTCCGTGCTTCCAAGTGAAGCCAGCCACGCACAGTTGAGCCAGACCTTTGACTTATCTTCACATAGATGGAACTGGTAAAAAAAAAAAAAAAAAAAGAGCCAGGGGCTCCTCCCAAGCCCATGTGACCCCTGAGGGACAGATCCTTAAACAGCCTAAAGAGTAAAAATAAATTGGTTTATCTGGACCAACTGTATGGTCTTAAATACCCAAAAGTAAAGTATAACCAAAGATTAAAGGGGTCAATATAACTCTTTAAGAGTCCATGTGTATAGCTAAAAGCTACATAACAAGAAACAATGCCAGACAGGAGATACCTTCCTTTGAGTTGTTGGCCAAGGTGGCCCAAGAGACTCCCAGAGAGTAACCCAGCATAGAACTGGGAAAATGAATAGCAGACCCCAATCTTATCTAAAGGAATATTGACAGCTGATTGCTACTAGATGAGGAACAGCTCATCTTCCTAAAACAAGGATCTCTAGGTGGGCTGACTAGATTGTGTGGCTGGACAAGCACTGGGGAATGGCTAGGGGCACTGACAGCACAGTGAACAGTAACAGTGATTACAGAGTATATGTGCTCCAGTGGGGCAGGGGGGACTATGGGAGAGTGCCATTTGGGATGTGGGTATGTAGATGAATAAGATTGTTTAGGATGTTCTTATGAAATACACACAAAAAAAACAATAAATTAAAAAATATGAGTTATATTTGAAAAAAGTCATTTAGAAATTTAAAAAATATTCACCCCTGTGTGACTGTCAACACCATCCATCTCACACTAAAACTTCCCACAACAAAACTCTATACCCACTGAATAATACCTCCCAGCCCCTGATAACGTTTATTCTATGCTCTATGAATTTTATGACTTTGACTATTCCTCTTATTTCATATAAAGGGAATCATTAAATATTTGGTTTTTTGGTTCACAAGGTACCTATATGAATTAATAATATTCATGAGAAAATGTGTTCCCTTCTTCAAGGAAACACTTGTTGGGAAGTAATTAATAATATTCATGAGAAAATGTGTTCCCTTCTTCAAGGAAACACTTGTTGGGAAGTAATTAACATAACTGGAGACAATAAAGGTCTAAAGAAAAAAAAGTACAGACAAAAGCAGTGTGAGATCTGGGCATGGTAGCCCAAACTGAACTGTAATCCCAGCACTCAGGAGGCTGAGGTGGGAGGATGGGTTTGAGGCCATCTTGAGCTATGTAACAAAACCCTATAATAAATAAACAAGTAAACAATCAAATAACTGTAAATAGGAAAGGACCTGGCTTAAGTTTGTGTTGGGGTTAATTTGGCTTATGATGGTTCTGAATCCCCAGGCAGGTCATGGTTAAGTTTATAAGCATGGTGGTTCCTGCTCTTTTAGGAGAGGAGATTCAGACTCAGAGAATGATGAATGTCTTGAAGAACGATGGCAAATCACAGTCTTGTCCTTCCTCTCCTTATTGCTATGCTATGCAGAGGGAAGTGGAGGTGGAACAGTGTTGTTATTTGAAGTAATTATGATAAATATCCTTTGTGATAAAAACAAAATGATAACATCGATATTCAGTGTTAAAAGGTTTTTAATCTGGGGGATGGAGAGATGGCTCAGCAGTAAGAACACTAACTGTTCTTACAGAAGACCCAGGTTCAAATCCCAGCACCCACATGGCAGCTAACAACTGTCTGTAGCTCCAGTTCTAGGGGATTCAACAGCCTCTTCTGTCTTCCACAGGCATTGCACGACATGGGTGCACTTACCTACATGCAGGCAATACACGCATACACATAAAATAAAAATAAAATATATTTTTAAAAAGGTTTTTAATCTGATTTTATTTTTTAAGATTTGTGTGTTTGTGTGTGTATGTGTATGTGTGTATGTATGTGCGCAAGAGCATGATGGAGGCACACTGTTTCACAGTATATGTTTGAAGTTCAGAGGGCATCTTTGTGCAGGTGGTTCTCTTCCTCCTTTATGTAGTGTCCAGGGTGCAAACTCCAGCACCACCTCCCCACCCCCCACGCTACCGCCCAGTCTCTTGTTTTTAGACCGCCTCTTATAGATTATTTTTCGGTTGGCAAAAAAGGTAATCAGGTTCTGCTCAGATACCTCTCAATGAACTTCTGTTTTAGGTTCTGAAGACACGACTAATGACAACTACCAAAGCATTGCCTTATACTTTGAAGGAGAAAAAAGACATTTTCAGGCTGGAAAATTCTTCTTGCTGTGTGACCAGTATTCACGGGTTAGTATTTGCCAAGAGAACATACCTTAGACACCATAGAGATGATTCTGGGAAATGTTTGAAACACCAGCCAGCATGTTCCCAGACACTCAGACTTGAATCTCAGAGTCTGTTGTTGTTGGCACTGGAGAGCAAACCCAGGGTCTCAGCATCCTAAGTATGAGCCTTGCCACTGAGCCACCCACCTCAGTCCTGAGAGTTAGCTTAGAAATCTCTTCTCCCTCCCATACACAATCATAGTCCTCCCAGAACCTCTCCCATCATCCCTTTCATTCTAACTACCATCAGCCTAACCCAAACCCAGGTTATGTTGATTCCAGTTAACTGTGTCCCCTGCTTCTAGTTTCTCTGCATGTAATTCATCCGTCATGTTGTTCCCCAAATAGTACTTGCTTTGCGTAAGGTAGGGAGTACAGTGTCCAAACGAGACATAATAAATTTAGCTGTAAATACAGATGCCTGTATGACAGACAGGAGGACTACAAGATTACTTGTCTAAAGGGAGCAGATGCTGCCTATGCCTAGCACATTATTACCATTCAGGAATCTGCCTAGAAGTGCCTGATGATAGAATTTTTCAAGAGAAACAGAAACCAAGGTGCCCCAGTTTTAAAATATGGGGCCAGATATTTCAGAATACTTCATTGGCCAAAGAAAGCTTGTCTGTGTAGGAATTCAATCCACATGCTGCCAGTTTACCATGTCTGGCCTTTTAGAAAAAGCCCAAATTCCTTAGCTGGCTTGTAAGCCAGCCAGTGTGTTCCAAGATGGCCTCCAGCTGTCTGTGGAAGTGTCCCTGACTAGATGCTTACAGCGAGACCTTTGACATCTTTACCCTCCATCTGCTTTCTCACTGCCTCCCAGTTCATCCTGGTCTTCGTCTCTGTCACTTTTGGGTCATCTACACACATAACTGTCTTTGCCTCCTCAGAGCATCTAAAACTAACTTTCCACACGGCCCATTTTGCTTTTAAGCTGCTGAATTTCTTCATAGGTTGTGTGTTCAGGAATTAGTCAATTATGACTTAAAAACAGTTCCTGTGACCATCACTACATCACACTGATCTCCCCAATTAGATTGTATCTAACACAAAAAGTGGGGCTTCTTCCTGGTATTCTTCACAAAAGCTAGTATAATCCCATATACAATAACAGGTTATCAATAAATATTTGTTAAATGAAAGGGATGGGGATATAGCTCAGTGGTAAGAGCATTTGCCTGGCATGCAGGAGGCCCTGGGTTCAATCCTGAGAACCACACCAAAAAAAGTTATAAAAACAAATGAATTAAAATCATTAAATCTTTCTGTGGAAAAAGGACATATTTTGTAGTTCTATTTCATCAGAAATCAGAACTAGATTCTTTAGACAGTTCCCTGGATCTTTTCATTTTTTTAAAACTATACCCAGACTTTGAAATACATGTTCAAGACCCAGAGCTTTGCAGACCCTGGTTGAGGTGAAAATACTCTGACATGCTGCAGTTACTTTGTGTAAGCAAAAACTGTTTTCTCCAGTGTGCACACAGCAGGCAGTCTTTAATTGCTATATGTTTCTCATTTTAGGCACTCAAACATTTCTTGAAATGCCCAAGCTCAGAAGATAATGCGGCAATAGAAATGGCAATTGAAACTGTAAGTAAATCCTATGTTGAAACTTTGAAGAATATCAATTTCCAGGGGCTAGGGATGTAGCTTAGTTGGTGAGCTGCTTCCCTAGCATCCAGAAAGCCCTGGTTCAGTCTCCAGTGCTGCATGGTTGCACATGCCTATAATCCCAGGAGGAGGAGACAAGAGTATCAGAAGTTCAAAGTCAGAACCAGAGATAGAGCTCGATGGTAGAATGTTTGCCTTGCATGCACAAGGCCCTGGATTCAATCCCCAGCACTGCCAAAAAAAAAATCTTGATTCATATCTTTGGAGCTGGAGAGATGGCTAAGAACACTTGACTGCTCTAGGTTGAGTTCCCAGCACCCACATGGCAGCTAACAACTATCCTTAACTCTAGTTCCAGGAGATTTGATGCCCTTTTCTGGCCTCTGTGGGAATTGGATACATGGGTGCACTTACAGGTAAAATACTCATGCACATAAAATAAAAATAAATCAGTCAAAAAAAATTTTTTTAAGAAGTTCCAGGTCCTCTACTGTGTAGTGACTTCGAGGCCAGCTTGGGCTACATGAGACCCTGTCTCAAAAACAAATGAAAATAGAAATTTCCAAATATATGCAAAAATAAACCAAACACTGTAACAGACTCCTATATAGCCATCCTCTAATTTTGCCAGCTGTCTACACACAGTCTTTATGTCCCATTTCAGTTAGGCTGGCTAGCCAGCAAGCTCCGGGGATCTGCATGTCTAACCGCCACCTCCAGTACTGGAGTTACAGGTATGCGTGGCCATGACCAACTTTTATGTGGGTGTTAGAGATTTAAACTCAGGTCCTCTTGCCTTCATAGCATGCACTCTTACCCAGTGAGCCACCTCCAAAGCACCTGATATCTGAAACTGTTTTAGCACCAACATGATGCTCAGAGTTTCAGATTTTGGAGCATTTCAGCTCCTCAATGAGGGAACTTTGTAGGTAAGTGGAAGTGCTCTGTATCTTAATCTGTGAGGGCTGCAAAGGTATGCATGGAAAAATTGAGTTTCACACATAGTACTTATAAATTTATTTATTATATGGAAGCTGCCCCTAAAAGAAAGTCCACAGGTTCTTCTCAGATAGTATCTCCAGATATGACATGACATAATGTTGAAAATAATCCCGAGAGGGCTGGAGAGATGGGTCAGCAATTAAGAACACTGGCTGCTCACTGGGCGTGGTGGCGCACACCTGTAGTCCCAGCACTTGGGAGGCAGAGGCAGGTGGATCTCTGTGAGTTCAAGGCCAGCCTGGTTACATAGTAAGTTCCAGGCCAGCTGGGGCTATAGAGAAGAGACCCTGTTTCAAAAACACGTTAAAAAAAAAAAAGAACACTGGCTGCTCTTGCAGAGGACCTGGGTTCGAGTCTCAGTACCCAGATGGTGGCTAGCAATGGTCCATACCTCCAGTTCCAGGAGATCCAATACTCTCTTCTCTGCAGGCATTACCTGCATGAGTGCACTTATATACATGCATGCAAAACACTCATATACATAAAATAAATATTTTTAAAGTGGAGAGCAATAGAAAAAGAAACCTGACAGCTTCCTCTCCCCCCTGCTCGCACACACAGGCACATGCACCCCAGACGTGCACATACACTATACACATACACATTTCAGATTTCAGATTCTCAGATTGGAATGCTTAGCCTGCACAAGCCCCAGCTCTTCTGCTCAAGATAAGGTGCAGTTCACAAGGGATTTCAGTCACTGATATTAAGGAGTTTTTTTGTTTTTCTTTTTTGTCCTTTTGAGACAGGGTCTCTCTCTAGCCCCAGCTGTCCTGGAACTCACTTTGTAGACCAGGCTGGCCTTGGACTCAAAGAGAACCGCCTGTGCCTCCCAAGTGCTGGGGTTAAAGGCATGCGCCACCACGTCCAGCTTTTTAAGAAGATGTTTATTGAAACATTTAAGAAGTATTTTCTCTGAATATACAAAGGAAAAGATCCTATTTTGATGCAGGCAGCTAAGAAAAGCTATAGCTTCTAACGATGGAATTTCAGTGATGAAGACTCAGCAAACCAATGAAGAAAGACCCTGGGGCTAAATTATATTTCAAGCAATTTTCTATGGATACTGTTACATGTTTTTTTATTTCATTTTCTTAGCAGAACGTTATTTATTTCCTCTTTTACCCCACCCTTGCTCCCTATTGCCAATAGGTTTAAGATGCGGAATTTGCTGAGGTTTCTCTTTTATGACACAGGTTGGCCGGGCCAAAGATAAACTGCTGACCAATCAGCTGATCGACCATCTAATGGGGGAGAGTGATGGCATGCCAAAGGTACAGAGTGTTGTGCAATACTGGGTGCTCATGTCTCAGTCACAGTTTTACTTTATCCTGCCCTTTCTTCACCTGTCATGACTTCACAACATAGACTTGTAAAATGACCCTCTGAAAGTAGCCACAGATCCTCTAGCTCAGCCTTGCATGTAAAAGGACTGTGCACATCCCCTCTTTAGAACTGACATAGGGCCCATGACATAGCCATGTCTCTCAAGTAACAGTCCCCTGCACCCACAATTTGTTCTCAGATGTCAGGTTTTCTTATTCTAGAAATTGAAAACCAATCATTGAAACTGTGACTTAGCACTGATCTCTAAAAATGAGTGTGCTTTATTCATATTTCAAAAACTGAAATTAACAAAAGTGTTAGGTATAAGCATAATCACTATCAAGGCTAAATTAACAGCTAAGAGCATATGTCAGAATCCATAGCTCCCTGAGGGTTCCTGCAGAAATCCATCTTCTCTCCATGTGATGCCTTAGGAAGTGCCCCCAAGCCCCTTTGTCCCCCTTTGCCTTTATGTTCGAAGCCATCTGCTTGTGACAGACTCTAATCACTGATGCAGAGAGACAGCAGTGTCCTATCACAGTGGACAGGATGCTGGATCTCTGCACCCATCACCTTTATCTTACAGACAAAGCCACAGAGACCCAGCATAGCTCAGGTGATCTGCCAAATGACCCAGGCCCTTGTGTTGTCCTAAACCACTTTCCATTATGTCCACTTATTTTTTTATTATTTTTATTTTATGTGTATGAGTATTATGCCTGCATGTAGGTAAGTGCACCTGTGTCCTCCACAGAGGACAGAAGAGGCTGACGGATCTCCTGCAACTGGAGTTACGGACTGTTGTTAGCTGCCATGTGGGTGGTGAGATTCAAACCCACTGTTCTTAACTGCTGAGCCATCTCTCCAATCCCCTATGTCACTTATTTTTAAAACCTGGAAACCAGCTCCAAATACAGGATGAAACAATCTTGAGTTGGAATTGGAATGGAAAGGAGTCAGGGGCCAAGCTAAATCACATAGAACAGAGAAAACTTACACAGGTACTAAAATTTCAAAGTGTTACAAGGTTGGTCCATCATATAAAAATGTTTTATAGGGGCTGGAGAGATGGCTCAGTGGTTAAGAGCACTGACTGCTCTTGCAGAGGACCCGTGTTCTATTGCCAGCACCCACATGGTGGCTACAAACTATCCTTAACTCCAGTTCCAGGGGAATCCGAAGCCCTCTTCTGACCTCCGCGGCATTGCGTGACATGGGTGCACTCACATGCATGCAGACAATACATGTACACATAAAGTAAAAATAATAAAAATTTTTATTAAAATTTTTTAAAAAGAATGTTTTGTTTCAAAACCCAGGTGGGACTCCACAGAGCATGATCAGGAACAAAGTGCATCCAGGTCATTGCTCCTAAGCCTCCTCTGCCCACCTTTTATATTCGCTTCTCATCCAACAAAATTAGGTCTGAGCATTTGGCTGGGTTAACATTTCTTAAGCTCTTAGAATAAGTACCTGACACACAACCTCTAAGAAAACGTTCAGTAAGCTTTTATTGTTTTTTTAATATTTTATTTATTATTTTTATTTATTTTGTATGTATGAATGTATTGCCTGCATGTGTGTAAGTGCACCTGTGCCATGCAATGCCTGCGGAGGCCAGAAGTGGGTGTCAGATCCCCTGGAACTGGAGTTACAGATGGTTGTTAGCTGTCATATGAACTTCCAGTCCTCTTCAAAACAGTGCATGCTTTTAACTGCTGAGCCATCTCTCCAGCCTGCTTTTATTAGGTTTTTAAAAACAACATCACTTCTGCTATTGAGAAATGTAATTGTAACTGAAACACAGAATTATAGGTATTTCTCCCCTTGACTAATGAAGAAAGTGATGTTTTGCTAATGGTTTTGTATGCCAGGATGCCAAGTACCTGTTCCGTTTGTACATGGCTCTGAAACAGTACCGTGAAGCCGCCCGGACCGCCATCATCATCGCCAGAGAAGAGCAGTCTGCAGGTACATCCCAAACATTGATCTGTTTCTGTGGTGCTAGGGACTGAGCCAGGACCCCTCACATGCTGGCCCAGTGCTTTACCACCAACCTTCATCTCCACTCCCAGGTCCTTAATAATTTTTTTCTACCCAAACAGGTAATGTTATAAACCTTTCTGCTCAGGAAAGAGTAGCCAGCTTCTAATCTAGCCTTGCCTTGGTCCCCAAAGGACCAAGAAGATTGCCTTTTCTAAAATTCAGAGAAGGAAAAATCTTCCCGTCTCGGAGTGTGGAGTCGCTGGGCAATGGCATTGTCCTGCAAACTTACATTCTGTCTCTAGAGCTGCTCCTCTGACCTCTTCAGCACCCAGCCCTCCTGGCAGCATTTTCTTTCCATTGCATGTACGGATCTGCGTTCACCATAGGAGAGATATTAGAAATTATGCTGTATCATTATGGACCTGGTTCTTTATAATTATCAGAACTATTTATAGAATCTCAAGAATAGTTCTGTTTACTTTCATACTCTCTTAAGTGTTTATTGAATAAGTCAGAGAATTAGTCTGGTATCTTTACTAGTTTTTCTTTTGTTTTCTTTTGTTGTTGGATACAAGCCCTAGACCTTTATTCTGCTTATGTTGATCTGACACCTCAGACGCATGCTGGGAACTTAGGACCCAGAGAGAACTGAACCATAGTTCTGTCCTCAAGGTCCATGATTAGTGGGAAAAGGCAGAAATTGAATTCAGCATTGTTATCCATGGTGACAAGAACTAGACTAGAAAGAGAAGGATTTCTAGTACTAGAAATTTCTTTCTAGTACTAGACTAGAAGGTGATCAGAAAGGATTCAGGGCATCCTAAAGGAAGAGCGTAAGCAGAGTTGGAGGGTGGAGATAAGCGATGGTGAAGGTTGTGGTGAATGACCAGAGAGCAAGGGACAGGAAAAAGGGTGCTCTGGGAAAGCACAGTGAGGCTGCAGCCAGCCTCTCCCGCCAGGGGAGCGTAGGGAAACCTGGAAAGGTGGCAGGCCGGGTCCAGCAGGGCTTTGGGCCTCTACTCAGGAATTTTCACTTGAACTCACTGCCTGTCGAGGGTTTGATTTTGCTTTTTGGTGCTAGAGATGGAACCCAGAGCCTCACACATACTAGATAAGCACCCTACCACTGAGTCGTTCCACCGGAGATTGAGGTGTGACCTGGAGATGTTGGCCTTGGAGTGATGCCTGAGATATAGAATCCCTGACATCCTGAGGAAACCTGATTGGCACAGGCTGCATGGAATGCAAAGAACTCCAGCCATGGACCTGAAGAGTGGCTGAACTGGAAGGACTCTTAGAACTCAGTGCATTCTGAGGTGGGGTGTGCCCCAAGGAAGAGTGAGGAATATAAGCCAATTTCTTCTCAGAGGGACTGGCTGGGTATCAGTACCATCAACAAAAATAGGAAAACCTATGAAGTTACTGTATAGCAGAAATGTTTGAAATGTTGTTAATAACATATAATTAGCAAACTTACTTGTAAGATGAAGGCCCAGGGAAGTCCTCAGGCTGCACCTATCATAGTAATGTCATTTTACCACCTTTTCCCAAGGAAACTATCGGAATGCACATGATGTTCTCTTCAGTATGTATGCAGAACTTAAATCCCAGAAGATCAAAATCCCCTCCGAGATGGCCACCAACCTCATGATCCTGCACAGTTATATACTAGTGAAGGTGAGGCCTGGGAGTGATGTGGGACATGACCCTCCAAGTCTCTTCATACAATGGGGTTTCCTGTGGGCACTTCTCTACAGTAGAGCCATTTCCTACATCTCCATATTCTCAAGTGGCAAAAGCAGGATACAGGCCTATGCTACAGTGTGCTGCCCTTTTGTTAAAAAAAAAAAAAAAAAAAAAAAAAAAAAAAAAAAAAAAAATGTTCTCAGCCAAGCATGGTGGTACATATGCTGAAGAGACTAGCAGTGGTGGCTTCCTCCTAGGAAGGAGGTATGAGGCAGAGGTTCAGGGCACCAGAGTCCATGCAGACAGGTGGGAAGAAAACAGGAGCCAGTTTTGCCGTGTGTATCATTCTATACTGCTAACCCTATATAACCCCTTTTAATATTTATTCCTAGTTGTATATTTGGGGGGGGTTGTTTTCTTTGCCTTTATTTTTTATTTATGTGTGTGTGTGTGTGTGTGTGTGTGTGTGTGTGTGTAGGCTGGGATTGAACCCAGGGTCTCACCTATGCTAGGCAAGTGCTCTACAACTGAGGTACATCCCAGTCCCTGTGTGTGCTTGTTTGTTTGTTTGTTTATTATATTTTTGAGACAGGGTCTCCCTGTAGCCCCAGCTGACCTGGAACTCACTATGTAGATTAGGCTAGCCTTGAACAGAGATCCACCTGCTTCTGCCTCCTGAGTGCTGAGATTAAAGATGTGTGCCACCATGCCCAGCTGTTTGTTTTAAAACCGGGTCTTACTACTTAGGCCAGGCTGGCCTGGAACTTACCACTTAAACCAGACTGCCTTCGAACTTGAGACATCCTCCTGCCTCTGCCTCCCTCACCCAGTGCTAGGATTACATGGATGAATTATGCCTGGCTTTTGTGTATTGATTTTTTTAATCAGTAGTTCTCAGTAAAAACCAAATAGATCATATAAACCTCAGATGGTTATGTAGTTTATGTTACATGTATGTGTATATGTTTCCATATGTATATTTACAATTTTTAAAGATCTTTTGAAATTACTTTTAATTATGTGTGTATATGTGCGTAAGTGCAGGTGCCCAAGGAAGCCAAAAACATAGAATCCCCCTGAATCTGGAGTTTAGGCAGTTGTAAGCTGCTGATATGGGTGCTGAGAACCGAACTCGGGGTCTTCTGCAAGAGCAGCAAGTGCTCTTAACTACTGAGCCATCTCTCCAGCCCCTTGATAGGTATATTTATATACTTAACCTTTGAAAAGATACAGACCTACTGCAATTTATATTTTTTCCCAACTTTTCAGTTATATCAAAGTTCCTCTTTTTGTGAGTGCTAAGCCAATTGTCTGGCCAGTCCAGTGAGCTTATTTAATTTGATTGCTACTGGCATAGTCCTGTTACAAAAGATTAAAATTGTAATTATTATCTAGATAAACACTGTCCGATAGAAACTTCTAGTTGCAGAACTGTTCCGTATTTGTGCTACTGAGTATGGTAGCTATTAGTCTAGCTGTGGAGCATTTGACATGGAGCTACTGCAATTTTTAGCTTTATGTATTCTAATTTTGGGGGAGCGGGGGTCTTCTTGACACAGGGTCTCTCTGTAGCCTCAGCTGGTAGGAACTCGCTATGTAAATCAGTCTATGTAAATCAGTCTGTGCTTAAACGCACAGAGTTCCACCTGCCTCTGCCTCCTGAGTGCTGGGATTAAAGGTGTGTGCTACCATGCCCAACTGTATTATAATTTTTAGATTTATTTTTATTCTATGTGTATGAGTATATTGCCTGCATATATGTAAGTGCAACCATCCATGCAATGCCCACAGAGGTCAGAGGAGGGCATCAGAGCTACTGGAACTGGAGTTAGACTATTGTTAAGCCTCCATGTGGGTGCTGGGAACCAGACCCAGGTCCTTTGCAAGAGCAGCCAGTGTTTTTAACCACTGAGCCATCTCCCCATCCCCTACATTTAAATTTTTTAAACGTATTTTTACTGTGTGTATGAGTTTTTTGCCTGCATGTATGTAAGTGCACCAGGTGCATACAGTGCCCACAGAGGACAGAGGAAGGTGTTGGATCCCCTGGAACTGGAGTTACAGATGGTCATTAGCCACAATGTGGGTGCTGAGAACCCAACCCCGGTCTTATAAAAGAGCAGCCAGTGCTCTTAATGCTGAGCCATCTCTCCAGCTTCTAATTTTTAGATTTAAGTAGCCATATTAGACCACACAGGTCTGTAACACTAATTACAAAGAGGAGGCATTTCAACATTCAGTCCTGGGAGTATACCTCCCCTCAGAGCAGCTGGGGGATGCTTCTTCCCTAGGGATAGGCTGGAGGCAGAGGTCTTCACCAGCTTCAGGCATAAGTGGTGCCACTGACCTGGGGGCACATTGCCAGCAAAATGGAGAAGCACAGAGTGGAGAGATGTTAAAACAAGTTGGGAGCAGAAACTATGGCAGGATTTCTAGAAGGGATTGCCCCAATCAGGGCTGACCACCATATAAGCTGTGTGGTGTGATTTTTGAGTTTTACCATCCAACCCCTCTAGGCCCAGCACTGCTATTCTGAGCCTGCCGTTTGTTCCTGTCTACTGCAGAGCCTCTTTGTGACTCTTCCCCTCTGCTCTAGTCTCTCACATAACAGCAAGCTTTTCCAGGGCTTTCAAAGATGTGCTTGTGGCAGCAAAACTGTTAGACCCTATGAACGGTGATGAGATTGATGCAAAACTGTCACAGTACCTTTGATACAAAGGAACAAAGAAAGATTCATCCATATTTCAGGAATAATCTGGACCAGGCTTTGGTTAACTTTCTCCTCAGAGCTGGGACCGGGACTCTGGCTGGAGGATAATCAGGACCTTGGGTGTGGTCAGCTGAGTTGGGCAGTGATGAGGCCCAGAGAGAAGCTGAGGGAGGATAAGCAGTAGGGCTTACCTTCTCTGCTTCAGATAAGAGATAAACCGTAACTAGTAATAAAATAGAACTTTTGTAACAATAGTACACTGCAAACAAAGTTATATAAATGTGGTCTTTCTCCTTTAAAACATTTTTTCTCTTATGTATATGAGTGTTTTGCCTACATGTATGCAAGTGTGTATAGTATACTGCATGTATACTGTGTGTACAGTGCCCACAGAGGCCAGAAGAGGGCATCTGATCCCCTGGAGCTAGAGTTACATACAGATGGTAGTCAGGTGCCATGTTCTTATTTTTTGGATATGGTAGCTTGCAGGAAAGTAAAACCATAGAAAAGAAAGCCACAGGTAGGGATGTATTCGTTACTTTTCTGTTGCTGTGACAGAAACACTGACCAAAGCAATTTACAGAAGGAAGAGTTTATTTGAGCTTACATTTCCAGGGGAATTATAGTCCATCATGGTGGGGAGGCATGGTGGTAGGAGGTGGCTGAACAGGAGCAGAAAGCAGAGCACTCACATCTTCAAGCAGGCACACAAAGCAAGAGTGACTTGAGATCTGGCAAGGCTCAAGAACTCTTTAAGCCCACCCCTGGTATTGTGCTTCCTCCAGCATGGCCACACCTTCCAAGACCTCCCCAAACGGCACCACCCACTGGGGACAAAATGTCCAAATACTTAGACCCTACTAGGGACATTCTCATTCAAGCCACCACATAGGGGGACCAGTGTGTTCCCCATCCCACTGCTCCAACACATTGCCCCCTCATCTCACACATGAATGACTGCCATAGCTTCGTGGCTGGGCTCCTGCCCTGCAGCTTCATCCTGTCCTACCTTCAGTCCTCCTCGCCTCACCTTGTCCCTTCCTCCTGCCGTGCTAGTCTACCCCTCCACAGGCAGTACTCCCTTTCACAAGCCCTCCTCTCTTCCCACCTGCCCTGACTCCAGCTCTCAGGTCTTACACCTAGGTAAGCTTATTAGTCCCCAGTAAAGGCCAGTAAGAGACGGACCAGGGATTTGAATTTACCTCAGGCAGTCTAGAGCAAATACATTGCAGAGCACAGACCAGACAACAGGGCTGTGGTGCCAGAAAGCAGCTGTTGAAGGAGAAATGGGAGCCCCAGCCCCAGCAACATGAGCCAGGGAGGGCTTAGGAATCTCAGGTCAGTCCTGTTCTGGGGTACAGCCAAGGAGTTGTTTGGGGGAAAGAAAACATGAATTGGGGCTCATCCAAGGTTGTAAGGATGAAATGTATTATTTATTTCAGATTCATGTTAAGAGTAGAAACCACATGAAGGGGGCACGTATGCTTATTCGGGTGGCCAACAACATCAGCAAATTCCCATCGCGTAAGTATTATCCGAACAGAGCTCATTCCACAGTGGACCTTAGGGCAGTGCTGAGGTCCACATTCATCCAACCAGCCAGTGTTCAAAGCTCCATATATTGTTCACTCATTTAGTCCCCCCACAGCACCATGAAATAGTAGCTCAGGATCCCCAAGACACCCCAGAATTTGATGCTTCCCAGGAGGGTCAACAAGAATCAACATGTAGAATTGCCAATGGCTAAGGTCTATTACACCAAAAGGAAGCAAAGTTGTCCAGAGGACAGGGCATGTGAGGTGATGTCTGAGGAAAGCAGGTGGAGGCAGAAGCTACAGAGATCCCCTCGCATGCAGTCACACTGAATATGGGTTAGTTATGTCACTGCCCCAGAGCAAGTTGTGACACCATGTCTGAAACCATGTGCCAGGAGCAACTCAGACCAAGGACCCAGGACTTCACTGGCAGCTGGTCACATGGGCACCCTCTGCCCTGGCATGTTCCCACCACACCAGATTCCCACAAAGAAAGTACCCAGCACAAAGCACATTGTTTGTAGAGACTTTGGGCACAGCTGTTCTGTCAGCACTGGAAATGGTGGGAACCTTACCCCAAGCCAAGTCCCTGAGGGCAGGCTTACAGCTAGGTGTTCAAGGTCTCTATTGGTAACTAATCGGCTCCAACCATTCCATGTAGGACTTGTCTACACACACGCCTGTTTGTATTCTGTTTCACAGATAAACCAACTGGGGCAAAGGCAATGAGGTAACATTTACTCAAGGTATTGGTCAGCTTATAAAAGTTCACTTCTGGGGCTGGAGAAATGGCTCAGTGATTAAGAACACTGACTATTCTTGCCGAAGACCTGGGTTCGAATCCCAGCACCTACATGGCAGCTAACAACTGTCCATAACTCCACTTCCAGGGGATCCAAGTGCCTCTTCTGTCTTCCGTGGGCATTGTATGACACAGGTGCACTTACATACATGCAGGAAATACATGCATACACATAAAATAAAAATAATAAATAAAATATTTTTTCAAAAAACGTTTGATTCTATTTCACCCACTGTAGGACATGGCTCCTGGAAAAGTTCTCTTTCTTCTCAAAGACCTGTCCTTGGAACATTCTTAAATGAATAGACTTTGTCACACAGTGTGATAGGTGTGAGCAAACTTCTGCTGTAAAGGGCCAGGTGTTAAATGTCTCAGGTCATTTGTTGTAATATGTAAATGAACAAGTAGAGCCAGAGTCTAACTTTAGTTTTGGGACACAGCAATTTGAACCTCGTGTTATTTTAGAATGTCTTCTCACATTTCCTTCAGCCATGTAAAAGTGTACAACCAGAGCTATAGAAATGTGAGTAGGCCAAGCCTGGCCTATGTATCATATTTCACCACCCTTTCCTCTTTTTGTTTGTGTTTTTGAGTCAGGGTCTCATTGGCTCGCATTGGACTCACTATGTAGTGAAGCATTACCTTTAACTCCTGATCCTCATGCCTTTACCTCCCAGGTGCTGGGATTACAGTTGTGTACCACTGTCCTAGTTCGTTTCTTCATTGTGGTGACAAAACACTCTGACCACTACCAACTTGGAGAGAAAAGGGTTTATTCAACTCACATCTCCCAGGTCATAATTCATCAGGGAGCCCAAGATAGGAACTCAGGGCAGGAACCTGGAGCACAGGCCATGCAGGAACACTGCTTACTGGCTTGCTCCCTTGGCCCCTGCTCAGTCTGCTTTCTTATGCAACACAGACCCACCTGCCCAGGAGTGGCACCACCCACAGTGGGCTGGGCCCTCCCACATCACTCATCAAGAAGATGCCCTTCGGACATGGCCACAGGCCAGTCCAATAGAGGTAATTCCCCAACTGAGGCTCCCTCAACCCAGGTGTGTCAAGTTGACACTAAAGCTATCCAGCACAACCACTATGTCTGGATAACCCTAATCTCTACATGTTTTGGGCTTTGTTTTGTTTTGCTACATAAAAAAGACTTTAACATTAGCACACACAAGCTGGGCATGGTGGTATATACTTGTAATCCCAGCACTTAGGAGGAAAAGGCAGGATGATCAAGAGTTTGGGGTCATCCTCAGCTGCACAGTGAGTTCAAGGCCAGTTCAGTATGTACTACTTAAGACTTCGCCTCAAAAAAGAAAAAGTTATAACACGCACCCAAGTTGGACAAGGGTAAGGCAGGACAAACCTTTTGTGAATGCTGGTAGGAATGGAAATTGATGTGACCTTTTAGAAAGCAGTCCAGCAATTTGTAGCAAGAGTAATTTTCTCAAAGGTCATGTCCAGCCGGTAATTCTGAAGTTGTGTCCTGTTCATTTCCCTGACTCATTTATCGGCAGTCCTGCAGTCCTGTCATGCAAAAATGTACTAGGAAATAGGAAGGATCATGCCCCAGTGTTCCAGCTCCTGGGATGTAGGTAATGGGATCACAGGGCAGTGCATCAGATCAAATGAAGGTCCGGAGGATCCAACTCTCCTGAGGCCCTTTCCTGTCTAGATGTTTGCAGGAAAAGCAGAGCTCTGAGAGCTGTGGGCAGGGTCGCACAGCATCTCCGAGGACAGGGCCATTATGCTTTCTTCTCTCTGTGTCTTGCAGACATTGTACCTATCCTGACATCTACTGTGATCGAGTGTCACAGAGCAGGCCTGAAGAACTCTGCCTTCAGCTTCGCGGCTATGTTGATGAGGCCGGAGTACCGCAACAAAATTGATGCCAAGTACAAAAAGAAGATCGAGGCGATGGTCAGGTGGGCAGAAGCAGCCGTTTCTCCATCTAATCATAGCTTCCATGCTATTCTTAAAATGCAGCTTCTAATTTGAAGGCTCATTGAGAAAGTGAGTTGTGTGGGGGCAGGGGTGAGGGCTTACCGTGTCAGCTTGACTGAATTATAAAATCCCGTAGGAGACAACACTTTTGGGTGTGTCTGAGGGTGTTTCCAGAGACATTTAACTGAGGAATGAAGACTCACTCTGAATGCAGGCTGGGGTTCCAGACTACATAAAAAGGACAAAAGGATAGAGTGGACTGAGCAGCCACCTGGCTCTGCTTCCTGACTGCTGCCTCACAATCTCCTCAGGATAGACTGCATTCCTTTGAACAGTGAGCCAAGATAACCTTTCCTCCCTTCAGTTGCTTTTCATCAGGTATTTTGTCACAGCAAAGAGAAAACTAATCTAGCGGGTAAAAGCAACAGAAAACCCAACATTGTCTTAAATACGTCAGAATTTATGTAACTCATACACAGGCATCATAGTTCGGGCTGGTGCCACCATGCCCTGATGTCACCAATCACAGCTCCCTCTATCTTCCCACTGGGCCATCCATAGCATACAGTGCTTTTCTTCCCTCAGGGTTGCAGTATAGCTGCCACATCTATAGACATCACATCCCCGTTTGAGGAAGGAAGTAGTAGGAGAATTAAAGGGCGAATGGGCCTTTGCCTTTATAATCAGGAAGGAAGGTACCAACCCCAGGACTTCTGCATCACCTTGTCCAGTACAGCCACAGAAGTCCCTGTGAAGCTTGCTGCTGAGTGGGAATCAAGCTTTTGGCAAGGAAAGAGGAGGGAATGGCTATTAGGTAGGCAGCAGTGTCTGCCAAAGGAGATGAACAAAACAGTGGATATTCTCTGAGAAACTCCATGTTAACACAGCCACCAGAAGCAGAGACCTTCCAGATCCTGTGCACACGACATACATAAGGCAGAGCCTTTACACAGGAACACTGGTGTGCTACTCCATAGACCTCCCATGGTTGTGGCAAATATCTGAGAAACAACTTAGAAGGGGGAAAAGATTATCTGGGCTGTGGAAGGTGCTGGTCTGTAGTCATCTGGCTCTGTTGTTTCTGGGCTGTGGGAGGTGGAGAATATGTGTCAAATCATTCTCACAAATCAAGGAAGCAGAGAGAGGGACACAGGAAGGGCCAGAGCAAAACACCCTTCACAGACACCTGCAGGACCAACTTCCTCTTTCCACAGTTCCACCGCCTCCAAGCCTCTATTTGGTTTCTGATTTTGAAACCATGGTGGATTAATTGATAAAGGCAGAGCCCACATGATCCAGCACTTCTCAAAGCCCCTCTGAACACTACTAGCATTATCAAAGGACCCTTTTGTGGAGACTCTTTATATTCTAGCCATAAAAGCTAAATAAATAAAATTTTTAAAAAAGCAGCACTCAGCATCTACAAAAGGTAAAATCAGCTGCAGGCATGCTCTACTTAGAGTAGTGACACTGCTAGTTTATTATTACCAGGGGACTCAGGCATACCAGAATCTTGACCCAGGCAAGAGATATGGTAATGACAAGAGGAAGCAAATGGGACTTTAGTGTTAGCCAAGGACAGCCTTTATGGTAGACAGCTTTAAAGCCGGTAAGGGCTATGACAGTGTAGTGCTTCCCTGACCAAGGCTGGGTTGCCATTCTCTGCCCACACATGGCACAGAGTGGTCTGTAGCTATGTTCTCTAAGGTGTTCGCTAAGATGGTCTAAGCTATGTTCCCCACTAGCTCCCTGTTTAAAACTTAGGTCTTCGCACTCCCCAGACCTTAAGGGCTCAAAAGCTACATGTGGCTCTGGACAGAACAGAATCAGAACATTTACTGCCAAAGAAAGTTCTATCAGAACAGCACTGGGTGGCCTTTACCACTCCAGTTATACAAAAGGGAGACAGGAAAATTAGCAAACACCCACTCCGATAGCACAGCAGACAGCAAGGTCTGCCTGTGCTCTTGCCATATATTGGCTTGAGCTCAGCTCCTGAACTGGCCAGGCCCAAGTTCTCCTCCTCTCCTCTGAAAGGGGCCAGGGGCTGCTGCTGAGCCGGGAAGTATCTGGGTCTGCCTGTGAAGAATCAGGAGCATTACGTGTCCTCTCTGCTGGTCACATTACATGGAATCAAGCAGTGTTTCTGACATATGATGCTTCCCCCAGGAGACCTGATACATCTGAGATGGAAGAAGCCACAACTCCCTGTCCTTTCTGCCAATTTCTTCTCCCAGAGTGTGAACTGCTCTGTCCTGGATGTAAAAACAACATCCCATATTGCATCGTAACAGTAAGTTTCTAATTTTCCCTTCACATTTTGAATATGTGATGTGTGCCAACGTTTTCTTCACATTTTACATAGCTTCTGCCTCAAATTTCTTGCAACATTTAGCAGGAATTTCTACGGTCACCAAAGCTGAAGGTGGTGTTCAAAGCATACAGTAGTCTAGGGGAAGGTACTAACCAGCAGACTTGGGATCAGAGGGTTGTGCACTGAGGCCTCTTCGGCCACCTACTGTCCACATTACAGTGTATGTAATCTGCTTTGTGATGCTAAGCTCACCTGCACTACCTGGGTGGATAACATACCAGCACACTGTATAGTGGCAGTTGTTTATTTTATTTTGCCATTGAGACCTACTATCAGAAAATGCCTATTTTGTTAACCCCTGAGCTCCATTATAAAGAAAAATAAATTTAAGTTAAAAAATGAAGTTTGACAATTCAGGCTTTAAGCAGGAATCCACTTACGAGTAAATCTAGAACAAGTCCTTTAGTACCACCTCTTTCTGAACAGTTACCACCTGCATGAAGCAGCAATAATTTCCTAAGCTAGAGGCCTGTCTGGGCTGCAATTTGGTTTCAGTTGAATAACGGTGACAGCTTTTCAAAGATGAATTTCACTCTCAAATGTTTTTAGGGTCGACACATGTTGAAAGATGATTGGACAGTATGTCCACACTGTGGCTTTCCTGCGCTGTACTCGGAATTTAAGATGTAAGTGTGCATCCCCTTTTACCATGTCACATAAATGGTTCCAAAAACTGGCTTTCATTCTGCCACTCCTCCCTTTGAGATCTTCTTGCTCCATGTTGTTAAAGATCCCAAAGCACCCAAATTTGCTCTCAGAGGGACCTTCTGTGATTTTAGCATCATCCTTAAGAGGATCTACTATTTGTAATTCTTAAGTGGACAAACATGTTAACAGGTGTAGACAGAAGAGAGTTGATTTTCATATTAGCATAACCCAGAGTTAAAGACATTGATTTACTCTGCATTTTCCTCCCCCAAACAGCTTACTAAACACTGAAAGCACATGTCCTATGTGTTCAGAAAGATTAAACTCTGGTGAACTGAAAAAAATTTCAGACTGCACACAGTACCTGCACACAGAGACAGAGTAGTGGGACACAAACTCAGGTAAGTGCCCAAGTGACCACTCCTTTCCCGGCATAGAAGCCCAGAGTCCATACGGTCTAATTTTCCCTATCAGCATCAACTCCCTTTTGTGTAACATGTAATTGTCAGATTCAAACAGTCTTGGCACACCTGAATCGTTTAAATGTTAAAAATCAGGAAGTAGCCGGGCATGGTGACACGCCTTTGATCCCAGGCAGAGGCAGGAGGATCTCTGTTAAAATGGAGGCAAGCATGGTCTATATAACAAGTTCAGCTGGGGCTACAGGGGGACCCTGACTGGGAAAAAAAAAAAAAAAAAGAAAAAAGTGGCAAGTTATTTGGCCAAGCAGCATTATGAATTCCAACAAGAACGTATTTTATCAAATTACATGTAATCGATCAGCCCCTTAAAACTAGAGCCAAGTTTTTTAAAAAATTGAGATTTTTCAGAATATTGTGTCAGATCTGGTGGCGCATGCCTTTAATCCCAGCACTCAGGAGGGCAGAGGCAGGCAGATCTCTGTGAGAGTGAGGCCATCCTGGTCTACAGAGTAAGTTCTAGGCCAGCTGGGGCTACAGGAAGACCCTGTTTTTAAAATAAATAAATAAATAAAAACCCATAATACTTAAATTGTACAAACTTTGATTTCCAAAGATTTGAAAATCCCAGTTTGTCTTCCTCTCCCAGTCTTTGGTCACACCACACTCCAAACATACTCCTTCCACCTCATTCCACTGCTGAGGACTTTTGCTCACATGGCTACACATGCTCCAAAGAAAGACAGGAAAATGTAGTCTCTATCGGGAAAGGCAAAAATCCTGTTAAAAATCAGGGACTCTGGTAAAAAGGGGGCGGGGGAGGGTTAATCCCTGACACAGCAACTGGAACTCAGCATGGTTAAAATGGAATTGTAAATTCTTCCCTATACACAGCCTGTGGTTTTCCTTCCCTCTATCTGCAGCAGCCCCATCCAACAGTTGGTGAGGATGGAAACCCAAGATGTTACAGGATTCCCCTCCCCACCCATCACTCCCATCTGTGTACCTCCAGTACACCCAGTTCCCTTCCTCAACTGTCTGGTGGCTTTAAGACTTACAATGGCTGGGTAGATGGCTCACTGGTAAGAGCACTTGCTGCACGAGAATGGGGACCTGAGTTCTAGCCCTACCACCCACCTAAAGGCCAGGCATGGTCATGCACACCTGCCCAGCACTGAGGGGCAGAGACAGGATTACTGGGACTTGCCAAACAACTAGCCTAGCCACAAACAGAAAGCTCCATGTTGAGTGAGAGACCTTGTCTCACAGGGATGGGGTGAGGATAAAGCAGGACACCTTACATCCTCCTTTGCATGCACGCACACACAATAAAAGCTTGTAAGGCTTTGAGCTAGCCCTAGCCTGTTCTTCCTGTCTCATCTGATGACCTTGTGTGTGTCACAGTCTCATTTGGCCTTTTTGCTGTTCTTGGACCTTCTGATCCATTTTCACAGGGCTGCACTATTTTATATCCAGCAGTGTTTGAGGGTGCCAGTTTTTCCACATCCTTGGCCAAAACCTGCCAAAACCTCATATATGTCTTTTTGGTTATAACCATCCCAGTGAGTGTGTAGTAGTAACATTTTGGTCCTGTTGCTATGCCACAAACTACTGTGTAAAGCATCTCTTCATGTGTTTGTTAGCCATTTGTGTATTTTTTTTAATTATGTATATATGGGGCGGGGGGGGGGTAACACACAAATGCAGGCGTCTGTGAAGTCCAGAAGAGGGTGCTGGATCCTTTAGTGCTAATAACAGGCAGTTGTGAGATGCCCAACATGGGTGCTGTAAACTGAACTCAGACCCTCTGCAAGAGCATGTTCTCTTAAGCACTCTTAACCACAGAGTAATCTCTCAAGAGATCTGCCTGCCTTTGCCTCTCATGTACTGGGATTAAAGCCCTGGATTGTCTTTTTTGATTTATAAGAATTCACTTCTATGTGCAAATCTTATAATGTATTATTTACAAATATTTTCTGTGAGCTTTCACTTTTTAAAATATTTTATCATGTGTTTGAATGTATTGCCTGCATATAGGTAGGTACACCCATGTGGTACAGTGCCCATGGAGGTCAAAAGAGGGTGTCGGATCACCTGAACTGATGTTACATGCAACCACATGTGGGTGCTGGGAACCTAACCTAGATCCTCTACAAGAGCAGCCAGTGCTGTTAACCACTGAGCCATCTCTCCAGCCTGCTTTTACTTTCTTGATGGGGTCTTTCCAAGACACAAAAATACTGAACTCAATTCCCTCAGCCTGCAATGTTCCTGAGCCATCTCAGGGGTCCTTGTTTTTTTGTTTTGGTTTTTTGAGACAGTTTCTTACTTCCCAGCCCTGCCTGGCCTTGAACTCAGATTTACCTGCTTCTGCCTCCCTAGTGCTAGGATTAATGGCGTGCACCACCACATCCAGCTTCATGGCTCAGGCCTGTTTTTGAGACAGAGTTTTACTATGTAAACCAGGCTGGCCTTGAACTTTAGTGATCCTCCTTCCTGCCTCTGCTTCTCAAGTTGTGGGACTCACAGGCATGTGCAATCATGCCAAACTCACTATTTTATTAGAATGTTTAGTTTTAAAGGTTCTTCAGAGTACCTTTGTTCCCCCACACACACACCCCAGCTGAGGAACTTGTACTTGCTAGGCAAGCATACTACTAAGCTAAATCTACCCCACCCTAGTTTTCTGAACATTGACTTTTGTCAGACTATGTCAATTGATTAAAGTTTTCCCCTTTATTATATTAGCATAGTATGGTGATTTTTGAGTGCTAAAATCAACTTTTATTTGGGAGACAGACTAAACTGATGGTGGTGTGTTCTTTTCCTTACTACTGGGTGATTTTAGCCATTAGGCTAAATACTGTTTATGACAGGTGCCGAAGTATAATCTTCTTCAGTTATAATTCCCTTCTCAAGTTCTTTTTAACTGAATTACTGTCCCATCTGCTTTGTTTTGTTTCTCTCATCTTCTCATAATTACTTTTTAATATTTGATTCAACTATTTTCTACTCATATCTTTCCAAAAACATTTAACATCCTAGTTCATACACTCTCTCTCCTCTCCCTCTCTCTCTCTCTCTCTCTCTCTCTCTCTCTCTGTATTTGATTCAACTATTTTCTACTCATCTTTCCAAAAACATTTAACATCCTAGTTCATACACTCTCTCTCCTCTCTCTCTCTCTCTCTCTCTCTCTCTCTCTCTCTCTCTCTCTCTCTCTCTCAACATTACTTTTTTCTTTAGTTATATCTTTTAAAGGAATTACAAGAAATGTGAATGCACTCACCTGGATTTTGGTTCCACTCAGCAAGTTTGCTGCTGCTTACTTACTTTCCTTCACTTTTTATTTCTTAAGTGTATGAATGTTCTGCTTCATGTATATGTGTATCACAGCCATGCAAAGCCCAAGGAGGCCAGAAGAGGGCATTGGATCCCCCAGAACAGTTTGTTAGTCACTCTGCAGGTCCTGGGACCTAAACTGTGGTTCTCTGCTCGTGCCTTTGTTTTTGCAGGACATTTTCACTTAATATGCAGTTCTGGGTTATTTTTCTTAAATCTCTTTGTAATGTTTGTCTTTAATATCAAGTAAGTATCACTCCTGTGTATATATTTTCTCTGTGGATGTATTTCAGACTTTTTTTTTTTTTGTCTTTTTGGAGATAGGGTCTCCAGATACCTCTTTTTGAGATAGCCCCAGCTGGCCTTGAACTCAGAGATCCGCCTCCCTCTGCCTCCCAAGTGCTGGGATTAAAAGCATGTGCTACCATGCCCAGCCAAGAAATTTTTTCAATCTTTAGAATGTTGACTGGATTTGTCTTCACTGTTTAAGCTCTAAGCTCTAGTCATCCCCTGCCTCGGGACTTACCCTCTCCAGGTGGAAAGTCACAGGAACATGTGTCTTACCCAACAGAGTTCTTTTTCAGGGGTTGACATCTTCCCAACTTCTGGTCACTCCCAATACCTTTGGGCAGTTAGTTATGTCCCAAATGTATACCTTTAATCTGTGGGAAGATAAGTGTACACCCCTGCCGCTTCCAGAAGTGGAACCTTAATTAAAAACCTCCTCAGGATCTCCCCAAATACATCCTCGTCTTAAAGTAGGTGATATGTTATAGACATCAGAGCTCCCTGAAGCCATGTCTTCAATAAGATGGGATTAAGCAGTCTTTTAAAGTGACAGCATCTCCTCCTACAGACAGTCCTGGCTGAAGCCACTGTTTCCTGAGTCTTCTTAGAGAAGGAATCCTTCACTGTTTAATTTCAGGGGGAAAAAATGCTCTAGCCTGCTAAGCATTCAGTTTGCATTTTCACATCCATCACAATATGGCTTTTACACTACTCTTGCTTTATAACAAAGATTCATAGCCTGTCCAGACACTTCTGTTCAGGAAACTCATGATTATGATCTAGAAATTCCTCACTTAAATATAGTGTCCCTGCTAAGTTCCAGACATGAGCAGAAAATGTGGCTTTACTATAAGATGCAAGACATCTCCTGAAGCCCTTCTAAAAGCACTTGTCTTTTCTAGGTTCAGTGTTCCTAAGATGACAACATTTCCCCTCATGTGGCCTTCAAAGACCAGGCTCTGGATACAGAAAAATGAGACAAAGGAGACATCGCCAGGCCAGCACATTCAACTTCTATAGTAACTAATAGTGACACACAACCTTCTGTTTATTGTACTTTGTGAATTTCCTCTTCAGTCTTAACAGTGCACAGCACAGAATATGTAATAGTATATTAATTGTAAATATTGGTTTTTGATATTTTGATAAAGGAGATATTTGAAATATCTCCTTTAAAATAAAATTGTTGACTAGACATTTGTAATGTTTTCCTGGACTTAGACACAGAGAAAGATGAAAATATCTTTGAAGCACTTATAAAGTGGCCAGGACAGATATTAATGCTGTGAAGTCTCAAATAATGAGCATTACTAGGCCAATTTAGCAGTCTGTCCCTTGAACCAAAACACCAACAAATAATCTTTTAAAAAATGATAAAATTAGAGCCAGACGTGTTGGCGCATGCCTTTAGTCCCAACAGTCTGGAGGCAGAGGCAGGTGACTCTGTGAGTTCGAGGCCAGCCTGGTCTCCATGGCGAGTTCCAGGCCAGCTGGGCTAACAGGGAGACCCTGTCTCAAAAAGACCGAAAAAAGAAAGATAAAACTATAAGCTTCTATCTGCTTGTTCTGTTGCACCGTATGCTGCTAATTCCTGCTGCAAAATTCAACCATTTGATTTCACCAGAAAACATACACTATTTAGAATCTCTTCCTGGGGCTGAAGAGTCTTTTCTTATATTGCATAAGCCACATTCACTTCCAGAAAATTCCTATTTTTCCTACTACTTGAGCACATACTTCCCTTGCCAGCTATGGCTAATGTCGCCAAAGTCTGAACAGCCAACAGAAACGTTGACTTGTCGGATAAACTAACTGGACAACACGCCTTTGCATATAGCCACCAGCAACCGAGCATCAACAGTGGTACTTAAGGGCCTGTGCTAGGGCTCAAAGTATCAGTAATATCTTCTGGCATCCAAACATTCCCCCTACATAATGTCTCCAGCTTTGTCTGTCCTTCCCTCTCAGGAGCTCACCAGAGGCCTTGGCTGTACTAAGTGGTACAACTTATTAATATCAAACTCACCCAATGCTGAGCTGCTGCTTCTGTTATCACTCAGGGATGCTGTAAGGTTATAGGTGTAAGAGTCCCGGTCACTTGGCATCTGTGAAGCCAAGCATTTTGTATTCTGTGGTTTGCAGGCCTCTGACTTTCACTCCTGAACACACCCATACCAGAATTTATTTAGGAATATACTCATCTTAGTATCAGGTCTATTCATTTACAACTTCAAGAGGTCAAACAATACTGCCACAGGTCTGCCAAAATGTATCAAGGACAAGTGGAACAGTTTGAGAGAAAGACTCAAATGGCCAAGACTGGGTGGTTCTCTGCAGGGCAGTATGGCAGTGAGGGCTCCACAGGCCACTCCATCGGGAGCATCAGTTGAACTCAGTGCCAACAAAGACATCTAGAGCCACACCTGAACTGCTTCTACACCCATTCCCACTTTCCTTCAATCTGTACTATTTCCCTCATGCATTTGAGGGCTTCAAAGAGGGATCCAACAGAACTGCATTGCCATCCATGTATATTAAACAGCATACTTACAATTTCTAACTCTTAAGTCTTTTTACAGCATGTTCAGATCATTCATAATTAAAAACATAATTGTAACAAGAACACCATTTTTCGTTCTTAAGGCAAGCAGATTACCAGCCCTTTCCTGAGATGTACAGCTAACTAGGGGTAGCATGACTTGCATATCCAAAAGCAACATAAATGGAAGAATGTGCAGAAGAAAACCATCCTCACTCAAGTAGCTGTTCCCAGCCAAGTTTTAACAGAGAGAAGAGAGGGACAGGACTCAGGAAGCTCAGGCTTAAGGCAGGATTTTATTTCCATAATGAACCAATCTCCATGAAACACATTTTTAATGCTAGTAAATACACTTTACTTGCTTTGCTTTATATTCCTTTTGGCATATACCTCACAAAGGCAGGCAGACCTCTGAGCACTTACTGACAAGATTAAAAGAACTAAACACTCAGAGGCCAGGCTATATCCACAGCCTCAAGGCCCCTCTACAAGCAGTTATAGACACAATCTGAAATTCCAATAGAAGTTGCAGAATCCATCACTGGACAAATCAATCATTTTCTCCTGGACATACTAGGCCTGTGAATGTGACCCAACCTAGGCTCTCCTACAGAAGAACATGACTGTAGCAAGCAAGCCTGTGTCCGCACACCCTCTCCTAATAGCTAAGAGGCCTCTCCATGAGATTCCACTCACAGCAGCAATGTGGTCAGTGCAGAGGGATGCTGGGAGTGTGAGCTCTGACCCTTGAACTTCCAGTGTTGTGATTCACACAGCTGGTTATTAAGGAACAGAGTATTTTAATCTAATCATTTGCAAATAAGGAAAGTAATATACCAACATAATATTTTGCTGTACAAGATGGTAATCTTGAGAAAAAAAATTATACATGTATCATGTGGAAATTTCCTACTTCATATTCTGTAAGATATCTGACAATATACAAAGAACTCCCAGGTGGTGGTGGTTGCTTCATATTATGATTTATTTACAAAATTTCACCATAAAATAAGAACCACCACAAGAATCTGTATTGGTCCTGTGAAGGCCATTAGGATAAAACGGTAAGCTATAAAAGACACCTCAGTCCCAAGGCTCCCAGCTGGCTATAGGTGACTAAAATCTGACTCCAGAGCCTGTGTAATTTCTAGGTCTGGTTCTACAGCACCCTACTTCAATTGACAGGGGTAGTGAAGGACCCAGCAGTCCTATAGAACAGCGGAGGACTCAGCAGTCCTATCAACCTCTATGAGAGGTGTATGAGAGCCGATTGTGAGGCCTTCCAGCTATACCGTATACCGTCCCTTTATAATGGGACCACCAGGTTGTCCCATTGTGCTACACGTGATTCCTCTGGAAAAAGCAAGGCTTGCTTTCTCTTAACCAGCTGGACTGGTTGAGAAGGTAAGTCAAAAGCAGCTACTGATACTGGAAAATGGTTTCACTTCTTCCAACTTTTTCCTTTTCCTTTTTTGGACTCCTTAGCTTTTTCTGGTTTTGAGGGCTTTGAAGATTTTGTCTTTTTCTGTTGGGGGAAAGATGTACAAACAGTTAATAGCTGCGTTGATGAGTAAATAAAATAAGCCTTACTCCACAACCACCTAATCTTACTCGTGGCTTGATTAGCAGAGAGAAGCTACAAGCCTCTGATCTGGGAGGACTGCTGCTCTGAGGAGCTGACTTTTAAGCAACCACCAAACTTCTTATCGCCCTCAAAGGTGACAGTAAAAACTGCAAAGATACTCAGAGCTAGAACTAAGGCATGCTCCCCATGGAAAGCAGTTTCTTGAATTCAGAGCACAAAAAATGTAGGAAAGATAAAATAAGAGATGACTTGCAAATATGGCAATGTCAATTGTATGAACAATTCCCTTTTCTTTCAGTCTCCAACAGATGATCTAAACACAATCATTTTGTGAAGACGAGAGAAGAGACTATAGAGCACTGCAGAAGGCCACTTACTCCTATAGACATAGAACACAGTGCTGGGTGGGAGAACAGTAACATAGGTAGACCCCAGGGACTCACTGGCCAGCAATCTAGCCAAAACAGTAAGCTCTAGGTTCAGTGAGAGACCCTGTCTCAAAAGCTAAGGTGGAGAGTGACAAGACACCGACATCACCTTCTTGCCTTCACATGCACATAGGTGAGTGCAAGTGTACACATATGCACTTGTGTGTATAAAAGGCCTTTTAATGGGCTCTCTTCTTGCTATTTGGCTCTTCCACTACTAAAGAAGCTCACTTTATAAAAATGAAATCCTTTCACCTTCTTCAATCATGATGAACAAGACAAAACAAACTTTCAGCTCACTATGCTGCTTGCTGAACAGGCCCTACTATTTACAAGGCACATTACACAGAAGTCAAGAACTTTGAGGTTCTCCTGCCCACAGCTTAGACTACTACCTTGATCATGGCATCAGTTTCTATTGCATCCTGCTCTTTCTCATACTGGGAATCATCTTCCTGTAACTCTTCATTGTATTCAGAATCCAATGCTGGGCCTGTGCTAGGTCTAGACGTCTTTATTATCTGAAGTGAATATGGGGTGAGGTGGGCTTCCTTGTTGTAAGCTCTTGTGAAAGCCGCTTTCACCTAGAAGAGAAGCAGAGGGGGCTTTTACGCGAATGGTGGACCGTTCCTTAAAAGAATAAAAGCCCAAATGTTTTGAGAAACTCTGGAACTCACTCAAAACTGCAAAATATTCACACATAAAATGGAAATGAAGTATATGCATTTTCCTTTAGAGAAGTGCTACCTTTTTTTGTTGTTTTTGGTTTTTGTGGGGGGGGGGGGGGGGGGGGGGGGGTGGAGTATGCCAGGCAAGCTCACTAAGACTGAACTACATTCCCAGTTCATAACATTCTTAATAAAGCCTACAGCTAAAGGGGGGTGGGGGGAAGAGGAGGGAAAGGGGAGGGGAGGGAAACAGAAGAGAAGAAGAGGGGAGGGGAGGAAAAAGATTAAGAATCACCATGTGGGGCTGTCAGGCAAACAAATGCCATTTTAGGTCTTATTTCTACCTACTCAGTCCCCCATATTTCTAAACAGTAATAAGGAGTGTTAAGTGTGTGAATCAATAATTGAGAAAAGGCTCATTACAAGATTCAAGTTGGTGTTGACTACAAAACACAAGAATTGGCAAGAACAGCAGTAGCACATGCCTGTAATCCCAGCACTTGGGAGGCAAAGGCAGGCAGATCTGTGAGATCCAGGCCAGCAACTATCAAGTAAACAGGGGCCAGAGCAAGGATTAGCACACATTCATGTTACATCACTCAAGTTTTTTCATGCTTGTCATACAAAGAGAGAGATACATTTTTATAGGAGAGAATGAAACTGTCACAAATACTGGATCAACAGGCAGACAAGAAAGAAGGATGAGGTGCATGAGCCTGTGAGCCCCGAGGTTGGGAGGCAAAGGCAAGAGGATCAGAATTCAAGCCCAGTACCAGCTCCACAGCTCATTCAAGGACAACATGGACTATACAATACCCTGTCTCAAAAAAAACGGGAGGTAAGAAAAAAATTACAAAACTCCTCAGGCACTAAACACATCCTTATTTTCACTGTGACATCAAATCCTGAAGTCTTTCCTGATTTGTACTAAAATACTATCTTTGGAAAGCACAGAGCAGAGGCAGCAAGCAGCTAAAGGAGGCGAGGGGCTAGAACATGTTTAAAGCACTGCTGGGACACAAGACTGAGCCATAGCAGACAGTGCTTGGCACATTTACCTTGGGGTCCAGCTTGGAAAAGGGACTAGGTTTGCCACCCCAGCTGCTAATTTCCATGATACTCTCAAAGTCTTCTTTCATCAAGTAGTATGTGTTCATAAGTGCAACAACATGCTGAACTCCTTCCACCCCCTGTGAGGTCAAGGGTTGTACAAGTGCATCTCTTATATGGGACAGGTAATCCATGTTCACAGTCCTTTTGCTCGAATAGGTTCTGAAAAATCAAGACAGGAAACTCATCTTTATGCATATAATCCATGTCAATGGCACCAACACCTACTCACTACACACAAGTCCTTTTAATGAATAGTATTTTGTCTTTTAAGGTAAAGCTTGCCACGAAAGCCTGATGACTTGACTTCAATGCCTGGGACCCACAGGGTAGAAGGGGAGAATCAACTCCCCTGACCTCTACACATATGCCATGGTATGCACAAACACTTGCATGCTAAACAAACAATTCTATAACTAGTGGATACTGCATTTAAAATAAGACAATATACACATAAAATATTTTTTTAATTTAAAAATAAAATAAGAAACTAAAGGCCAGCTGCACACCTTTAACCCCAGTACTCAGGAGGCAGAGGCAGGTGAACCTCTGTGACATAATCTGAGGCCTGCCTGGTCTACAGAGTTCCAAGCCAGGCAAGATTACATAGTGAGACCTTGTCCCAAAAAGAAGAGGGAGGGAAGGAAGGACAGAGGGGGCAGGGAGGGAGGGGACACTAAAATAAACACATTCACTCCACATTATCAACACTCTGAGGCATTATGGAAAATATACCAAGAGTACATAAACATTTTTTTGGTCTTTTTGAGACAGCGTCTCCCTGTAGCCCCAGCTGGCCTGGAACTCATGATATAGACCAGGCTGGCCTGGAACTCACAGAAATCTGCCTGCTTCTGCCTCCCAAGTGCTGGGATTAAAGGTATGCACCACCATGCCCAGTTCATAAACATTTTTAACTTCAATAATGCACAATAACTTAACCAGTAAATTAGAACTTGTAAATTAAGTAGGTACTCCTATATGTCTAACCTCAACTGCCAATCTAACTGCAGTAATTAATAGTTAGTGGAATCCTGCCATCCAGCAGCTGGCATCAGGACACCTAGCTCCACCCCAAGGTAATGGACACACACCACTGCACTCAAAGATATTTTTGTACTGTCCTAGAAACCAAATATGGGTTCTACTTCTATCCTATTCTTAAGGCCCCAACAATAATATTGTTTCTGTGCTCGTACTTTCTATAGCCATAAATATTACTCATTCCCAGTCTCCGAGTGTTAAAAGCATCAGGAAGAGGCAGTGAGGCTTCCTACCTCAAGCAGCTCCATGAGTGAGTGTGTAACACCTTCTGGTCTCTGATTCTAATGGACAGAACTGTACATGAATGCCTCCCTCATATTTCCTCATGCCTACACTCTCAAATATTAGGTCTAGGGCAGGGTTTCCCCAATTCTAAGAACACTGAAGAGCATGTTCCTGCAGAGTGAAAGAGATCAGTGCTGGTCAGCAGAAGGCAGAGAAGTAGACTCTGAGCAGTTGACAACTACAATGTTCAGGAAGTAACTTTCTGTCTTTCCTAAATGTTGTCACTTCTTTAAAACAGAAAATAACTGAGCAAAATAATATTTCTATTGCCACCATCCTAAATCTTTCCGACAATGCCCCTGGCTTGTTCAAGCCTGGCAATTTATGTCCAGATCCATGAGGACCACAAACTGGGTGTGACAGTGTACACTGGTAATCCCAACAAGCGCAGCACTCAGGCTGATGGCTCCTCCATCCTCCATGTGCTAAAGGGCAGAATCTCCCTGACTCTGACACCACTGCCTCCGTTTCACAAAGACCCTCTGGTAATATTAAGCCACCACATAACCAATCTCAGAGTGACAACAAATTGTTGTTTTTAGCCATTCTGCTGTTAGAACAGCTACAGGAAACTAGGAATGGAAGAAAAGACTCCTGCCATAGGCTGGGAAGAAGGAAATTAGCAGGAAGTAGAATTTCACAGAAAAAAGACAGGAACTAGCTTAGCTTTGCCCCAAAGATCAAGGGGAATCTGGGGACCAAATAGCAATATTCCAGGACCACAAAGGGGAATAAGGATTGCTTGGATAGCTCTCATGGTTATAAGTAAATCCTTCAAGTTTACTTAACACTGCATGCACATTTTTTTTATTTTTTTTTGTTTCTAAACTTGAACAAAATTGTATTAAACTCAGGTACATTTGACCTTCTTTAAATATTTCCAAGTATACTGTTTTCAATGATCCTGTTATACACTACCCTATGTTCCCAACTCAATCAGTAGGTCATTTTACCACTAGAACAGGCAAATAACTGAGAAGTTATTCCCACTAGAAACAGGGACATTTCCAGTAACATAAACAATGACATGCCTCAGAGGTGGACACTTTTAAACTGCATTGATGTACTTCTCTGAACATCATGACACAAGTGCCACCTGGCTTTGTTTTCCAAATGGTCATGCTGATAACAGATGACAGAACTTGGACCTCCACACAGAAGGAACTTATCATCCAGGATCATTTAGCTAATTATCATTAAAGTCAAAATGAAAACACAATCTTTAGACTCACACTACCTTTATGGGATAAAGGTTAATGTACTCATCAATAAAATGCCAGGAACAGCATTAATTCTGCTTACCTAAGACTCATGTGCAAGGCGAGGTCCTGTACAATGCGATCATGTTTGCCCATGGATGAGTGCTTCCCGAGCCAGCTTGGAAAGGTGGGAAACTGGGTCATGTAGCCCCTCATCAACTCTCCAGGAAGAACACTGGCATAAATGGCCTGGAAAAAAAGTCAAATGTAGTCCAGAATTTAAATCTGGTACAAAGTTAACTGTTTAGCAGCTGTGAGCGTCTAAGCAGGTTGCTCTGATTTAAGTATTGTTGGGTATGTTCAAATTTCATCCCATTGTAAAGTCTGGAGAGGGTAGAAACTTAATCCAATGGTACTGTCTAAAGGATTAGAGAAGGTCACTATGGTGAACCCTTCATAACTGAATCCTGGTTGCTTCATAAGAGAGGTCAAAACAAATATACACATCCACCTCCTGCCATGAGATGCCCTTTGCCACCCAGCAAGGAGGCCATCAACAGATTGCAAGTCCTTTTATTTTCTAGAACTGTGAGTTCAATAAACTTCTTTAAAACATGCCCAGTTTGTAGATTACAGCAATTGAAAATGGACTAGCAGTGTCTATGGAAAATGAAGCCTGATGCCTGATTAGACTGCCCCCTCCATGTCCTAATCTGGAGGTGTGGGAAGCATCTAAGGGATGGCAACAAGGCTTAATCGGTATAGTACTTGCCACACAAGCATGAAGACCTAAGTTTGATCCCCACATGTAAAAAACTAGGTGTGGTGGTTATGTGTTTGTAATCCCAGCACTGGGGAAGAGAAGACAAGAGGATCCTTGGGACCCACAGAGTAGCCACAGTAGCCTAATCATTAAGTTCCAGGTCAGTGCTAGATCCTATCTCAAAAACACAACATGGGAGCTAGAGAGATGGCTCAGCAGTTAAGAGTGCTTGCTGCTCTTCCACAGGACCTGAGTGAGTTCAGTTCCCAACACCTGTTATCAGGCAGCTCATGACCACCTGTAACTCCAGCTCCAGGAATCTGACACTCGCTTTTGGCCTCCTCAGACACCTGTACACATGGCGTATATTTATACGTACACATAGACAAGACACACAGACATATAGGAGTGCACAGAGGCATGTATACACACATAGGGGTGGGGGGCGGTGGGGGCAGACAACACACTGCAATCAACACCTTGGTCTAAAACACAGGACAAACCATAAAGTCTTGCAGCCTCAGTCAACTACTCTCAGCATACCTGCCACCCCCTGGCTGCCAATGTCAGGGCACAGAGTAGCTACAGAATGCAATTTTAACATAAGCAGCTGATGGTACAGGAAATTAAATGTGGACAGTCTAGTAGAAAACAGACTAAACTATTACATATGAAAGGTGCAAAAGAAGAGTAACTTTACATGACTTTGGTGGCCATGGTTCACTCCTTTGAAGGCTCTAATTATACCTCACATAAATTTTGTATCCTTGCCAGACATGGTAGCACACGCCTTTAATGCCATTAGAGGCAGAGGCAGACAGATCTCTGTGAGTTCTGGGCCAGCCTGGTCTATATAGTGAGTTCTAGATCAGCTGGGGCTGCAGGGAGACCCTGTCTCAAAAAAAAAAAAAAAAATTGTATTCTTCTTTATATTTTCTTTTTTTTGGTCTTTTTGTGACAGGGTCTGGTCTGTAGTCCAGCCAGCCTGCAACTCACAGAGATCTACCTCTCTGCCTCTCGAGTGCTGGGACTAAAAGCATGTGCTACCACCACGCCAAGCATATCTTAGTAATGTTTTCTCACAAGAATTATTCTTATTAGATAATCTTTACAAATTTTTTTAAAAAGGTAAAAAGGAAATCATAAGGTGAATTTATTATGGGCCGGTAAGATGGATCAGCAAAGGCATTTCCACTAAGTCTGATAACCTGAGTTCAATCCCTGGAACTCACATTGGTAGGAGACAACCAACTCCTACATGTTATCCTCTGACCTCCACGTAGGTGCATGTGCATACACACACCCACAGAGGGAAGGAGAAACCATATAAATAAAACATGATTTAAAAACCAAGAGGACTTATCATAATTAACTATTCTCCTGTAGTTGGACATGGAGATTTTCTAATTTTCAGGCTAACACTTTCAGGAATACGTTTATGCAAAAAGTTTTTTGTGATTAAAATTATTTGTTTAGGATAAAATCTCAAAAGTACAATTATTAAGAGAGGAAAAATAAACACTTTTAAAACAGGAAAAATTCTTATTTCAACAAATCTTTGTTTTTCATTTTCAAGCAATATGGGTATAATTAAGAGAAGGCAGGCAAGGCCAGGCGTGGTGTACATGCCTACAAAGGCTAATAAAGGAGGTCTGCCACAAGTTTGAGAACAGTCTGGGTTACATACTGAGTACCAGGCCAACTGGTACTACACAGGAAGACTCTGTCTCAAAAAAGAAGGCAGGTGCTAGAGATAGCTCAGTGGTTAAGAGCACTAACTGCTCTTGTAGGGTACCCGGGTTCAAGTCCCAGCACTCACATGGTGGCTAACAACTATCCATAACTCCAGTTCCAGGAGATCCAACACCCTCTTCTGACCTCTGCAGGCAGTGCATGACATGTGGACTTACATACATGCAAGCAATACACTCATACACATAAAACAAAAAATAATAAAATTTTTTTAAAGGCAGACTTTCTTTAAAGTCCTTGCTTGTCACTTGCGCTAATAACACTGTATCGATAAACAAAACTCAGAAAGCTGTGGTGCAGCTCAGTGGTAGAGTGCTTGTCTTGCATGTACAAGGCCCTGGGTTCCATCTCACACATGCCTCAAGATGTAAGAAAGAACACTTATAAATACAAATGTATTTTGTAGTTTGTTATCACTTAAAGATCTCAACTAAACAATTCCCAGTATAAAGTCACCTCTGTAGCAAAGAAAGACTTTGCAATCCCATATGAGATTCTGCTGGCCTGCCTGGCTGCATTTCTCCTCAGAGAGCTTCTGAGTGGCAACCCCTGAGAGAGCCACTAATGACCCCAAAAAAAGATTCTCAAGGTAAAAGAGAATAGATGAACCTTCTGATTAATGTCCATAGTTATAACCAATGTCTCTTCCTATTTCCATGCATCCATTTACATTAAAACATTTTTAAAACATAGTAACACCAGATTAATAAACAGCCAATAGTGACCAGAGTATTTTCCTCTGTAAAAGACTATAATTTTGCCACAAAAGATTAACTACAGAAGCCAGGCGTGGTGGCACATGCCTTTAATCCCAGCACTCCAGCGGCAGAGGCAGGTGGATCTGAGTTTGAGGCCAGCCTGGTTTCCACAGCAAATCCAGGCCAGCTATGGCTACAGGGAGACCCTGTCTCAAAAAAAAAAAAAAAAAAAAATTAACTACAGAAGCCACAAACAACTTTGTTCTCCTTAGCTAAAGCAGACTCCACTCTTTAAGGAGAGCCCTACACTTACCTGTGTGGGCAGAAGGGTCCAGTTTTGCTTACTCCGGATCTGGCTGTCCACTAAGTCACCATCACATATGCTATCTGCTGCCCGGCTTAAAAGCATCAAGTGCTTTTTCATGTCACCCCTGCAGGAAAAGAGCCAGTCTAGATCATACCACAATCCACCCCCAGCCACTCCTTCCCAAGCATGTCACCTCTGCGGTGCTGGAGGGTCCAAATCCTGGCTGGCCCTCACTGCCTCTCAATGCTCACCCTGCAGCCACAGGCTTCACATGGAGGTAGTTCTCCTGGACAAAGAGAGGCGCTATGGAATAATCATGGAAAAAGAGGTCCGATTTGTCCATAAGTGACATATGTCCAGTCTCCTCTCCAGCTGCAAACACTTTCCGGGCAACATCAAATGGGCCCTGTGAGAGGGAGAGGCACAAAATGAATGACCAATCTGAAACACTGACCTTGCCAAATGCTGGTGAGGATGTGGAGCAATGGGAACCCTTACCAATTGCTGGGGAGAATGGAACAGGTCTTTGGAGGCCAGTCTAGCAGATTCTTTAAAATCTAAACATAGACTTACCATGAACAACCATATTCTTTGGTATTTATCCCAAATGAACTGAAAATTATGTTCACAGGAAAAAGAGGCACACAGAATTTATACTGTCTTTATTCGTAATTTCAAAAATCTGTCCTTCAGTAAGTGAATAGGTAAATAAACTGATACTTCCAGACCATGGACTTAATATCTTTTAAAAAATTATATTAGCCAGGCATGATGACACACACCTATAATCCCAGCACTTGGAAGATGGAGTTCAAGGTCAGTCTCAGCTATCATAGTGAGTTTGAGGCCAGCCTGAGCTACAAGAGACCCAATCTCAAAACACAGAGGAAAAAAAGGAAAAAATGACTAATTCATGAAAAGACATGAAGGAGCCCAAAATGCATATGATTGTGTGAAATAAAACATACTCAAAAAGGCTACAACCTACATGATTCCAACTACATGAAGCTCAGGAAAGGGAAAAACTATGGGGACTGAAAAGACTAGTCATTATCAAGGGTTAAGGGGAGGAATGGTTTGGTTTGGGTTTGGGTTTGTTTATTTTTTTATAGAGAAACTACTTTGCTTAATTTTGCAGTGGCAGAAAAGAAACATGTCGCTGTCCAAAAAACTGCAGAACGGAGCTGGAGAAGAGGCTCGGCAATGAAGAGCACTTCCTGCTCTTGCAGAGGACCCAAGTTCCACTCCCAGCATCTGTATTAGGTGGCTCATAACCACCTATAACTCCAGTTCCAGGGGATCAGACACCCTCTTGTGGCCTCCATGAGTACTAACATGCATGTACACATACACACATGCAGACACACTGATATAAATAAAAAATAATAAAGTAAATCTTTAAAAAAAATGTACATCAATAAGCATGAACCCTATGAATTCTAGGTGACATGATGTGTCCAGTGCTGTTTTACCAACTGAAACAAATATAAAACTTTAGTGCAGGATACTAAGAGAGGCAGAGTGTGCAGGGGTATGGAGGACGGTTACATGGGAAATCTCTGTGCCTTCCACTCAATTTTGCTATGAACCTATAACTACTCCAAAAAAATAAAAAGTATATTATTTTTTTTAAAACTGTGCAGTTATTACTGTTAATTTCTGACAAGTGAAATGGAAAACAAAGGCAACTGATTTCTAGCTTCAGAGGTTAAACTAAACCATTTGAAACATTTAATTCCCAACAGTACAAAACAATGCCAAAAAGGATGCAGAAGAGACTCTGGAAAAACCACTTTGAAACGAAGCAGGAGTCTAATTTAAAAATTATCCCTTTCTCAGAATTTCTATGAAACAAGGGTTATGTTTTACATAGGTCTGACAAGTGTCTATGGGTGCTTTATGTGTAAAGGAAAGAGAATGTGTCTATACAGCTAGTGTACAGAACAAAAAAAGCCTGGACTTCCTAAAGGAACTAAGAGATGGGAACTTCTTTTACCAGTTTGATATCCTTCCTGGCCCTCTGAGAATCAGCCTTGGCTTGGTCATAGGTTAGTGCCTTATTTCGTGCACACCACATACTCAGGTTGTGTAAAACCTACAAGAATCATAAACAAGATAGTTATCAGGATAAGAAAATACCGATACTCCCCACCCTGCAAGGTTGAAGACTGTGAGGTTTAACAACTGTCACATAATATATTTAAATTACCTGTCGTATATCTTGATTAGCTCCCAAAATTATTTCATTCATAGCTGGAGGGGGAATCTTTAAGCCCTCTTTAAATGCAACAGACAGCATTGCACTCTGAAATGACAAGTGAGGAAACTGTCATTTACTTTTTTTTTTTTGTCTCATATAATCTGATGTTTTTTTTAATTATTTATTTAATAACCATATAATTAGAAGAGGCATTTCATTACAAAAGCACTGACAGATTCAATAACAATTTCCAGAGCTAAGATGCGTCTCTTTCAAAATTGGCTGTAAATTTTCAGGTTTACAGTTGAATTAATACAGTTATACAATATTGTACTCCATATAAACCCTATAAGACAAAATTAAATGAGGTTTTAAACTTTAAAAAAAATCTCCATTTCATTATTAAAATACGGTTGCATACAGAAAAATTCATTTTTAATACAATTGATACTAAGGTGCACATGCA